CATTGCAAAAACGTTGCGGTGCAAAAATGAGGTCACGAAGAGCGCCGGTGGGTGTTTCCTGATTCCGACAGCGATTTACATAAACTGCGCAACGGGAGCGAATGCGAGAATTTCGTCAGGCTTTGTGTGATTTCGCGTGACACAGACAGTATGTTTTTATAACAAGTGAACACTGTTCTTCAAATAGAAACAAAGATGGAGTAGAATGGTTGAATATTTGTGTTGTATTCATATGAAATCAAGCAAGTGTCGAGCAAATTTTGGCAGCACGCTTTCCTACCTGCTATATATTTATGTGTCAGTGTGCAGCGGCAGCCATGGCGGCAGCCAGCGTTTGTTGCAGATGAGCATTTGGACGGCATTTACAGGAAATTGTCGGCAATAATAGGGGAAAGAGAGTATAGAAACATTAAGACTGGTAGTAAATAGATTTCGTATTTATTTAGCATTATATTTTATTGAAACGCTTCAAGTGCTTGTGTTAAACCCCCCTATTGCTATGGCTATAGAGTATAATATGTACAATCATACACTGATACAGTGATACACTGGCAGTGACAGTGTCGCTGTGAGTCTGTGTGAGTGATATGGTGATATTGATGGCCACACTCCAGTGACACTGTCACACAGATTGGTGATCTATTATTAATTTATAATTACTATATTAATTATTATGTATAGCCACAAGTCAAGTCAGTATAGTACCTTAGACTTTTTAGACGAGTCCTTACGAGGTTACATCACGTCAATCGTGATTTTGTGTACAGCTAGTGATACCTTGCGTTACGACAACTCAGATTACGAAAATTTGCCTTGTAAATTATTTATTATAACAACTTAGCTAAACTTGGCCCTGGGTTAGGAAACTTAAATTCGCCATTATGGAATCTTGTAAGAGAATGAGTGGGTCGTTCTAAATAAAGAGAGGCATGCTCAATTTCTCTATATTGATTAAGGAATAAATACACATAGCTCCAATAATTGAGTCTACCAATGGCTTGGTCGTAGTAACTGGGTGCTGCTAGGCACTTATTACCTACCAAGTAATACCCAATTTTGTGAGACGATTTGGGTAAAAACAATGTGAAATTGGCTGTTGGCACTGAGCTTGATTTTAATACTTTTGGAAATCAACGGGCAGTTGATAGGTATACACATGATGCCACTGTGTGACTAGCATTACAGTTTCAACTACTCCACTCATGTCGTTTTGGGTTTTCAAGGTTCTATTCAAATGGTGGTTGCAATTTGCTCGTTTATTGTTGCATTACTTGAGAGAGAGAGAGAGAACGAAGAAGGGTATAAATACTTATATATTATTGATGCTAGAATACTATAGCACTAAGGTTAAACATAATACAACATAAATAAAAAATTACATTATAATTGTTGTATTTGGGATATAGCTATAGTAAAACAGGTTTGTTGAGGTCGAATATTTTCCAAATGATGGGTCTTAGGGTGTGAATTGATGGTAGTCTCTCAGCCTAGTCAGGCTACCCTACCCCCTGTGTCGAGTATTATTTGAATAAGCAGTTCACAACATCCTCAGCTTCTGCAGTGAGCTGAATATATAAAGAGAAGCTAACATTAAAAACAAACCAACATGGCAACGAACCGGCATTCAGATCAGAGTATGAAACACCAAATCCTGATGATGATAGTGATAACAAATTTGGGCTGCCTAGTAATAGTAATTAGTAAGAAGTTTTAAAATCTGTAATGCGCCCCTTTCTGTCCCAATGATTCTAATTTAATTCTGACAGTAACTTTGAATTCCCTTACTTTTCCAGTTTTAACACTGTAGTGTGTTACATCATTAACATCATCAAGATATATCATATGTGGTTTAAAATATTGCCTTGCACACACAATTGTTCTTCTAGTACATTTTATAGCTGAAAGGTTTCTGTTATGAGGACATCTCGAATCATGAAGTCAACGTGAAAACGTAGTTCTCATTACGGATTTTCGCATTAGGAACATTTGTTTCTGGAACGCACAATTATACGACATTTCTCCTGGTAGATCCTAGTTTACCCAGAGAAATCTTGTTAAATTTTTAATTCTTTAATCTTTTTAATTTTATTTATTTTTTAAATTTATTTTATTATTTTATTATTTATTTATTTTATTATTTTATTATTTTAAAAATGCATTTTTTATTGGATGCAGGAGCATTCCAGAAAACAGTCCAAGTTCGACCAAGTAAATAGTTAGCTACACAAAGCTACCAAGGAGATTGGTCACGAATTTGTACTGTAATGGTGTGAAATGAAGAGTGTCGAATTTGGCACTCGGGCTTTCGCATCCGCTCTATCTTTAGTGAATTTCTGCACAGGGGCACACATGTATAAGATTGCATATTGTAGAGAAATATATTTGAACGGCATTCACATAGAATTATTTTAAGCGATAAAGAGTACGTGAGAGTAAAAACTAGAAGTGGACTACTAATACAGTTTTCATACTACGAATGTGATAGGTTTACCAGTCCCTTGAGAGCACTAATACATCTGATACTATATAGTTAAAATATAGGACACCAAAACGTTAAGAAAAATGTCTTTATTCAGGAAATGGTTCTCCATTTAACTTTTTTTCTATCACTGATCTTATATTTCCCTTCTCAACCATACTTGAAATCTCTTTGCATGCATGTGATGCGGTCCATAGCTTGCGTGTTTTCCATGCGAAATTGGCTTGTCTTCAGACTTCACTCATTAGCATGTGCTGACACCTTTCATTGGTGATCATTCATTCCTCTAGTGATTCTGAGCAGCTGTATGCAGGATTAATGGAAACAAGGAATGGTGCATGAATTAGCGAGGGAGAAAAATAAGTAAGGTAGAATAATGAATAAAGGAAGGAGGAGAATGAGTAGGAGGAGGATGACGAGGGAACGTGTGATATAGGGAGGAGATTGACAATGGGGCGTCAAGAATGAATTAGAGAATTACAGGATGGAAGAGATTGAGTAAGGCGACAATAAATAAGGAAGGTAGGATAACCAATAAAGTAATTAATAAGAAGAGAATAATTAAAGGAGAGTGATTAATAAGGAAGGGAGATAAAGAATAAAATATATTAAATAATAATTTATAAAAGAAGATAAATAAATAAGGGAATGAGAAGGAAAGGAGGAATAAGGGAGGGCTCAGAATCAGTAAGGGATGGAGAAGAACAATGAATTAGAAAGAATGGATACAAAACTAGGGAGAGGTGGAGGGAAATAAATAATGGAGAGAGTGAAATGAGCAAGGGTGATAAGGAATGTGGTTGAATTAAGTAAGGGGGAGCAGAATGGTACTTCACAAATTTAAATCTACAAACTCTGCAGCTAACTGTTGTTCTTCGGACTGGTATATTATCATGCTGTACACGTCTTCCAAACAGTTAATGACTGCTTCCTAAACGCTTAGCCGCGGCTGCGTCAGATCTCGGCAATCACAAACAGCACTCATCCAACTCTGACGGGAATGTTTTCACTTATGTTGACGTATCACAAGTGCATAACATATGTGCCGGTCGGCTTGGCCGTCTTTCCGCGGCATTTCCGTCGAAAGACGTTTTGTGTAAACAATTTTTGTTTCTTATCTTGTTTCATTCTCCAGAAATCTATAATTTTTGAGTGCTGATTGTGTTTCTGAGATGTGTTTACAGAAAGTAGGTGCGTGATGAGTCTGATGACGCAGGAGGAAGCCGGGGCTGAATTTTTGCAACAGTTCACATGTTAACTTGATAGAGCTTTCGTCAATGTTTCGCATATTAAAAAAAAAATAATATCACACATGTACTAAGTTTTCGTGGAAGTCGTCTGTACAGTACGAGTTAGTGCCAGTGATTCACGGGCGCAAATGGGTAACGTGATTTTATCAGCGCTTGAGTAATCGGTCTTCTGTGTGGCCATGTTTTTCCAAAGCACGATAAAGCGCTCGGCGGTCCAGAACGGCTCCATAATAACCAAATAGCGAAACCAAGAAGAACATCTGGAAAGACTTGCGTTGCGCACGTTGGTAAAAATGTACATGTCCCAGAATAGAAAACTTTTGGGAAAATTCTCGGCAAAAGTCCGTGTGATTTATTTCCGCAACAGCACCGTTGTAAATCGTGAGCACTTTGTCAATAAACCGACTCCCCCCAAATTAGAAACCGGAATAGACGAATCTGTACTGACGAATGCTTTTACGTGAAACCCCGGATATAACCTCTACAGGTGTTGGTGCTCATGCTGTGTCATTACAGATCTCACGCGGGATTCCGCGTGAGAGAGAGAGAGAGAGAGAGAGAGAGAGAGAGCAGAGAGAGAGAGAGAGAGAGAGAGTGAGTTTGTCCCTCACTCTAGATTATCAGCCTCCCGTCCAAGTATGTTCTCGCTGACGCTATATAGCGTCGTTTCTCGGACTCTCTCAGACATCAGAGATATCTCAGAGCCAGACGTTCATTAGCAGTGATGGTCAGCTAGCGGTAATGTGCGGGAGTTAGGGGGCGCGCGTGTGCCACAGTATGATTAGCCTTCCACATATATCAGGTCACCTAGCTCCTTGTGGTGGCGTTTTTAGCAAGCTGCGGCAGTCTGTCTGTGGCTGTCGCCGGCTAGCTGACGTGTGTTTCATGTAGGTGCCGTGTTGAAGGCACGGGGCGATGACGTGCCGCCCTCTCCCCCTCCCACTCCGGGATCTCGAGATTGCACTGCTGGCGTTCTTGGATACCGGCTTCCCGCTCATGCATGGGAGATTGCCGTTTCGGGCCTGCTATTCTCGGAGATTCGGTTTCCATTGCAGCGCAACATCCTTATGGAGTTACCGCGCGCACGTGTAGGCAGTGTTGGAGGAAGGCATTAACGAGGGGAGAGGTTACAAGCAGGAGGAGCGATCCTCGGGGATAGGGCTTCGGTTGCCGACATGTGTGCACCTTGCCAGATGGCAGCGGGTGTTGTGGCGTTGCCTTCCCCGGCATGGATGACGCAAGCAGTAGATCGGTAGTCTGGGCCTGAGCAGGCTGTGCGCGCGCGTGTGTGTCACTGCGTGTGTTTACTTGTACATGCGCCTGTGATCAGTGTGTGTCTGCCGCTGCCATGGTGAGTGTGTCAGCGAATGCCTGTCGTCTGCAGCTTCGCTAAGCAGAAATTGCCATTACTGCTGCCAATTCAAGCGTGCACGCGTCAAAAAACTAGAACACGTCCCACCTCACTGGTGTCCGAGCAGCTTCCACGGTCCAGCGACACGTAAACATGGCATTGCGGAGCGGCTTGCTGTGCATCTCATTGTGGTGTAGCTTCACAGTAGTTCTCTAGAGGCAGTGACTTCACTACTGTTCTCTAGAGGCGGTGACTTCACTACTGTTCTTTAGAGGTGGTGACTTCACAGTTCACTACTGTTCTTTAGAGGCTGTGACTTCACTGCTGTTCTTTAGAGGCTGTGACTTCACTGCTGTTCTTTGGAGGCAGTGACTTCACTACTGTTCTTTAGATGCGGGGACTTCACTACTGTTCTTTAGAGGTGCTGACTTCACTACTGTTCTCTAGCAGCTGCGTTTGTTTATAATCGCTATTGCTACAATTGCTGCTGTTTTCGGCTGGCTGAACAGGTGGCTTGCCCATCGCATCTATTTGCATCACACTCGCAGTGCGTTTAAAAAAAGAACAGAAACAACTCTGTAATCGGCACGCGCACAGGGTCAGTTCATTCTGCATCAAGTCTTCCGTTCAAACGTACATACACATGACCAACAGACATCTGTGCCAGTGACAAATTTATTGCGTATATATATATACAAACTTTACGCATCACCAGTGTGTGCGCGGGGATTTTAGTGGCGTTTGCACGTGCTCCACGCCAACAAGCATTCTTCGACGTTGGATCGTGGGTGTGCATACGACCAGTGTTCCCCGGAGCAACCCTGAAGAAGTTTCTGTTGCGGAGATGCCGATGCCAGCTAGGAATTCTGTGATCGCTCTCTGAAATCCAGTTCGTTAGTGATTACTGAAGTATGGACGCCAACCGCAAGTATCAATTTCAACTGGATCATCAGCGATTCATCTTTAATATCCAGACCGTTGCCAAAATCCTGACAATCGTCAAGTCCGGCTGCTAATTGCTAATCAAATGAACTCCTGAATCGGTGCCGTCACCGTCGTCACTGCCATCGCAACCAGATGCTGCTGCTCGTTTCCGAACCAAAGTAGGAGCACTTGCCAAGCAACGCTTCTTCTCATGTGGAGGGGCAACGAGCCGCTGGCGCCGGGCAACAGGCCGGTCTGCCTGGACACGGTGAGCATCGACACTGACCTTGACCCCGATGACCTGGACGACATCGAGGCGTCGTACACGGACATGCAGGGTTCGCTCTGCGACAGCCTCACGAATCTGTTTATCGACGAGGACGCAGGATGCTCGGACGACTCGAGCCGCGACAGCCTGACAAACGTCTACCGAGACGACACCTCGCTCGACGAGTCCTCGCTGGAGGCGGCGGGGAGAAGAGGATGCACGGAGGCGGGGAGGGGCAGGTGCAAGGAGGGAGGACGGGTAGAGGTTGGTAGGGAAGCATGCATGGAAGAACGGAGAGAGGTGTTTGTGGATGATAGGAGAGCAGGGTGGGTAAAGGAGGTTAAAAGTGCAGAGGAAGTCCGAGGTGCAGTGTGTGAACTCAGTAATTCATGGGACGGGAAGGTAAAGGGCATGCTTGGAAAGGAAGCCATGCAGGAGACCAACTGCCATTCTCCGCAGCACTACAAGGACAGGGAGACGTGGACCAGCAACGATGGCAGCAGTCGGGGAAGCTCCGTACGTCTAGAGGAAGGCGAACGAATGTCGCCAAAGAGAAGTCTCGACGTTGCGGAGTTTCACGGGCCTGGTGTTAAGCCTACTCCAGTTCTGATAGGGGGTCTCGTTCAGGCAAACCTTCACCACAAAGAGGGCCGTGAACGAATCTCCCCTCACAGGATCCCTGACGTCGCAAATGCTTCACAGCTAGGCGATAAGAAAAGTGCTTTAGGCGACAATATCGTGCAGAAAAACTCTCTCAGGCGTGAGCAAGGAGAGCGGGTCTCTCCTCAGAGGCACATCGACGTCATAGACAACGTTGAGCTTGGTGGTAAAAGAGGAAGCCCTTCTGAGGCGGAGAACACCCGTGGAACCCACATGCGGCTAGAAGAAAGAGAATGCGTCTCTCCTCGGGGAAAGCGCGACATGGCGAATTCCCCCGGCAGCAAGCGGAGCCCCTCGCTCGCCGAAAGCCTGGAACTCGATCGGCTGCTCGTATCCTTCGGCGAGCAGAGTACGCTAAATATAGAAAACAGCAGTGACACACCACGCGCACGCGAATCGGCACACGAACTCACGCGGCCGCATCTCACAGAGACCGAAAGCGTTAGCGGTGCTTCTGGGAGGCCGCTCCAACCCGTAGCTCTACGCAAACCCTTTGGCATCAGCAGCGGCGATTTGGAAGAGGTCACTCAGCATCTGTCGGCGATCAAGCGGCGATCATTGACCCTCGAACTCGGCGTCGACGACGTGGGGCGAGGGTTAGAGGCGAGTGGTGAACTGCCGACCCCCGAGTTGGCAAGGATACGGCGGGAGATGTGGAGCGACCTGGCAGACATCATAGGCGAAGAGCAGGCTCAGATGTTGAAGTGGGCGTGCGAGACCGACCGCAAGGAGGAGAAGGCGAAGGAGACGGTAGGCGCATGGGGGAAGACGGCTAAACGTGTTAATTATAGTTCATCAATTAACGCGTGTACGTACGTGCATATGTGCGTGCACGTGTGTGTGTGTATGTGTACATCCGTGAAATCAGTAGCCCGCTAAATATGTGTAAAACCCGTCCTCCATCCATCTCTTCAACCATACCGCCATTCCTACATGCGTTTATACAAAGAGAGAAACGTAACGAGTTCGGGAAAGAGGCGCGCGCGCGTAAGAGAGAGAGAGAGAGAGCAAGAGAGAGAGAGAGAGAGAGAGAGAGAGAGAGAGAGAGAGAGAGAGAGAGAGAGAGAGAGAGAGAGAGAGAGAGAGAGAGAGAGAGAGAGAGAGAGAGAGAGAGAGAGAGAGAGAGAGAGAGAGAGAGAGAGAGAGAGAGAGAGAGAAAAAAAAAA